AATTCAGTGCATGGGCATTTATACATATATATTTTTTTCAATTTGCCTTAACATTGACTATATATTATATAAAATAAGCTTTTTCCCCAACAGGCAGCCATAGAGAAGGTGAAGGATTCTGATAAATTGGTGGCCACAAACAAGATTAACCCTCAGGACAAGCACACCATGGCCAAGCGCCTCAGCAACATGTCGTATTCCTTACAGGGTAAGGCTCATTATTCGGTCAGAGTAAGGTTGGCAGAATTCAAGCTAGTTATTTATTACATATAAGATTAGGTCTTATAAACTAGCTAGTATAGTTTTAGCACCGGTCCGCCGCATCTGCCACTCCCACAGACACTTCGCTATGTGAGCCAATAATTCATAAGTTGTACTGTAGGAGACACTTGGTATTCTGAACACAGTAACTCTAAAAGTATTTTACGGATCTTTTTCAAAATTTGCAGGCACGTTGTAGGGGTAAACAACTGGAAGTTAGGGATGGGGCCGATCCGATCCAGTATCGGTATCGGGTTCTGATACCAGCTTAATTAACAGATCGGAAATTTCCGATCCAACCTGGTGAAATTTCCGATCCAGAGTTAAGTCTACAATGCTGTCTGCTGAAATGACTTCACAAGTGATCCCGGGCTAGGTGACGTGTCTGTGCTCCAATGAGACACTGAGAGAGATGACACTCCTCCTTTCAGGAAATCCTCTGCAGTTTGCAGGTAGCAGTTTAGCATTGAGCGCCATACAACATGTCCGCTGTGTGGAAACATTTTACGGTCGAAACGCCGCAAAGTAAGACAGCAACGTGCAATGTTTGCAAAGCCGTTGTTCCGAGAGGTGTAACCTCCGTCGCGACGTTCAACACTACAAATATAATTAAACACCTGAAAATTAAGCACCACTCCAGAGAGCACGAGGACTTTTTAACCAGGGGGGAATTCTTGCTACACAAGCAAGAATTTACTGAATTTATGTTGATCAGATGCACATTGTTCTATTGATAGTGTGAATATTTATTTTTTATTTCAAATATTTGATATTTGAAAACCTTTTTTTTGTATGCTACAAGAGTCAGTGTACTTAATTTGTGTTGATCGGATGAAGCAGCCCTTTGTATTATTTGGAGAGTGGTAGTATGGAAGTTTACCCTTTTATTTCATGTTTGACATTTTAAAACCTATTGGTGATTTATATCTGTGCTGTTTAATTCATATGACAGGGTTTGTTTCTTTGATGGTGTATATTGCACTAGTATCTAGTAATCCTGTCTTGAAATTTAAATAAATATCCATTTAAACCCTTAAAGTTGCATATTTGTTTTCAGGATGGGATTTCTGCTGTTTTCTAACCTCATACTTACCTCAAGTTGCTTTTTGGGACATACATAGACTTGCTTGTAGAGAAGTTTATTACAGCCTCATAAAATCAACAATAATGATAATAATCATAGTGATATTAAAGCAAATAGAGCTCTGGTATCGGAATAGTATCGTTATCGGCAGATATCCAAATTCAGGTATCGGAATCGGATCGGAAGTGAAAAAATGTGGATCGGTGCATCCCTACTGGAAGTGATTAAATTTTGCGGCAGATCGGCCCAAAACTGAAGCAGTGCTGCATAGTGGTAGCAAAATCGGCGTGGCTTCAGACATTTGATTCCGTTCACGCATTAACTGAAAAAGTATGCAACATCTTTTTCAGACACTTGATCTTGTCAGCATGATAACTCACAAATTATCTGGCTGCTCTTTTCCAAACGTTATACATTCTGTGGATGAATATCTGGACCTCTTCAAATTTTGAGACAAATTGCATCAAAACTGAAGCAATATTACTTAGTGTCAGCAAAGACATGGATGAGATGATTTGATGTTTACAGTATCCTTGTGAACAAGATCAATCATTATTTACTTTACGCTATGTGGATGAAAATCTACACAGAAAAAGGTACTCTAGATCAGATCCAGAACTGTAACTGCAACGATAGAGGGCAGCAAAATTGGAAATGCTGGCAGAATGTAGCTGAGAGCAAAAACAGAGCCTCCAGCAGCCACCTTTTATACGCAAATCTTCCATAGATCTTTTAAACACAGATATTCTTTGTACAAATCTTTGTACTGCTGAGTAATTTTACAACTGTGGGGTACAAGATGATTTTCTGAATATATTTATTTATATTTTTAATATTGATTGTTGATTGCTATCCTCCCTGTTCAGCTAATTTTATCTGTAGCAGTGCAGCTTTTTAAATTGTGTTGGCAACTGATGGCATTGCAACCCTAAATTCTAACCACTGGTCTCTGCATCCCCAGCTGAGATGAACCACTTCCATAGCAATCGCATCCACGACTACAATAGGGTCATGCAGCTGTACCTGACGGAACAGGTGAAGTTTTATGAAATGGTAAGAACTGAAGCTTACTTTCTGAATAAGCAGAAGTATTAATCATCTTTTAACAAAGATTAGAATTGCACATTTGCTTAATACTATGTATGTCTATGTTTTTATGTCTACAAATAATAAAAAATAGAAATTAAACAGTTTGACATCTTAAAAATAAAGAAGTTAACAATGAACAGGATAATAATGAAAACTTAAAATGAGACACTAGTAATAAAATCTGTAAATAGATTTTGTTTGGTACATGAAAATAGAACCTCAGAAAACAGGTTACGTAACATATTTTTCTTTGATCTTGCTGTTGCTGAAAAGATGAGAAGAGAAAATGAGTTGGGAGTTAAAAATGTGACCTTTTTATAGTACTGTGTTTTGTTTTTGAGGGGAAGAGTAGTTTCTGCTTTGACTTCTCTGCTGATCCAGTTCTTTAGTTGATTTGGGGATCAGTGAAAATCCTGACAGTGTGCATGGTTTAGAAGTGTAAAGTACAGGAGTATTTACAAGACTCTCTTTTTTTCCCCTGTTTGTTGTCATGGATACACGTTACAGTGAAGCTCCTCTGTCTTCTGCAGACTGTAGTGCCAAATACAAACAATAAGTACACCAACCAATGATAAATTACTTTACCCTACAAATAATACAGAAACATGAATCTAGCATCCTGAAATGAAAACCGACTCGATGAGGGTGGGGGTACTGTAACTCAAGATCAAGATTTTGCCAATTTCCACTTCTGCAGACATCCATGCTAAAAATGCCATTTCGGAGTTATATACTCCTTAAAATCATGTGGGTTTACAATTTTTATGAGTTTTGTAGTTATTATAGTAAGTTTTTCTGACCTAGAAACCTGGCACCAAGTATGCTTTTTAATGTCATTTCTTGTGTATAGGCAGCCGGGCTGCTGTTATTGTGAAAGGTATTTCTGTTAAAATATTTTTCCTTTCCACTACGTGTCAAGACCTGTAACAGCCAGTGTTTGTGCTGATTGACAGTTTCAGGTAGTTGGCTTGCAGGCGTAGAAACACTTCCTGTGCAGTTGATTCATTTTTTGTTTGTTTTTTACAAGACCTCTTTCACTCACTGCTCTGTTTTGAATAGAATGGTCAAGTTCAAATTGAGGAACACACACACACATTGTCTTAACTGCACAATTATACTGGGTAATGTAGATACATTTGCTGATGTGCATCTGGTTTGAGACCTTAAACTAGAACAAGAATAACCAGCTACGTTGGCTGCATTTGCAGGAAAAAGTAATCGCAGTACAGTGGAACATTATAGGTGCCTTGGTGTGTTATGCAACTTAAAAGTGTGTACATTCTAAACTTAAATTTTGGTTTTTTTAAATTGCTTTTATGTTTCATGTAGTTTTATTCTTTAATGAGCACAGTAATGGGTCATTGACAGCATTTAAAAATGATGTGCTTGCAATTCAGAAATAAAAGCCATTTGAAATATGGTAATGAAAGCAAGTTGACACATGTGAATCTCATATTCCTCTCATGCATTTAAACTCACTTTTAAGTATGTCTCTCTCCTGTAGATTGCTGATAAGCTGCGAGAGGCTCTCAACCAGTTTACCACAATCTAGAAGACATCTACACATGGACATCGAGGAATGTTTAATGTATCTGAGAAAAATCCCGATTGCGGGGAAGATGGTGTAAATGTCAGAATTTTCTGTTCTCGAAATTATCCAAAAACACTTCAAAATTGTTCCCAGACCAGTTCCTTAAGAAGAGGTACTGAAATCACTGCAGAGGTCAAAAGTCAGCATATGTGGAAGAAAGCCATCTTACTAAAAAGCACAGTGGGAGTTATTGTAAAGAAACATTTTTTATTTAGAGTTATGTTTAAAAAAGAGAATTATTAAGAAACATTTTCACATGCAGGTCCAGGTGTATATGCTTCAAAATAACATGCTTACTGTATTTCTTACCTCAGGGGTTCTAATGATAAGACAGTGGAATTCCCCCAGAAGACACCTAGGTTTATGTGTTTGTTTGTTTTCCTGAACATTACTAATTATTTAAATGTAACTGATATATTTGTACCTGTATGTATTAATGGTTTATAAAGCGCTTTGCATTACCTTAGTGGCTGTTTGCTTTTAAAACGATCATTTGTGTCACTGCAGTTAAATTGTTGCCATGCTAAAGTAGTGACCTTACCTTTCTTTTCTGTTAACACATGGGACACCATACTCTATTTTCCTCTTTCAGAGTTCTTGGGTTCTCAGGTTGCCTACATTTCAAGTGTCATAAAACTAGTCCCCTTGTAAAGATTTGGAAAAATGAAATATACCATAAAATATATAGTGTCTACTATGTGATGTTTCTCTCTGAAAATTTTTTAATAATACAGACTGTATTAACCTTTCCATTGTATAACAATCATCATGTCATTATGAGTTATCATTGTGTTATTAATATAAAAGAAAATAAAGTAATACCATTACAATTCTCAAATTGCATTTGATGTTAATAGATACTGTTTTGCATCACAGAAATGCTTTCCCCAAACCTGTGCAGCATGCGATTGAGGCAGCCAATTTTTACTGCCAATCAACTTCTGAGTGGAATCGCAATGCTTGTTTTCGTGCCTTTCCAGTTGTAAAATGACATTAATTATCTCTGTTTTTCAAGCCAGGCACAGCTGTTAGCAGCCAAAGCGAGCTCCCCCCGGAATGAGCCGTGATTTCAAAGGGCACCCATTGGAGGAAACTGGAATCTGGAATCGGACAGGAAATGGTGGAAATGGTTTCTCTAGCAATCCGCCATCAGGCTCCAGCGTTGCTCCCTCTCAAATCTCACGTAAAGGGTTATCTAAGAAAATGCTTGAAATACTCATTCCAGGGTATTTGGGGAAACAATTTTTTCAATGTACTCATTGTGTGATGTTCTTATATATACTGTTTCTTCCTCTACTATTTCAGCAGTGCAAGCCTCTTTGAGGAGTTAGAGCAATTCTCAATTCAAGTTAATTAAAGGGTGACATAAAACTCTCTCTTCCTCTTTCTCCGCTGCAGATTTTGCCAGCAAAATGGGCCCACATTAAAAATTATCTACTGCAAATATTTATTTAGTATAAATATGTTGGCTGTTTAATATATCTTTATTCTGGTGTAAATTTAAGTAGCTCCACATTATTTTCCTTGTCCAAAAAAATCTCTGAAGCACAATTTGCATAAACAAAAAAACAGAATTAGCTTTGTGCATAGTAATATATAGTAATGTGAACATATGTAGCCTGTAATCAATCATAAGTAATGACATAACGTGCTCATTTCTCAATTATCCTACTTGCATTTTTTCCATTGTTTTTGTTTCTCCCATTATCCAGTAAAGGTTTTCTAAAGGTTTTTGTATTTTATTTTAATATAATTTAGTAACCCATTTCAGAGAGCATATCGGTTACAGTTTTAGTTCTGCTTTGGAGAGCAAAAGCCAAGGTCACGTAAGGTACCAGTATAGGTCAGAAGGATCTGGTCCTTCACTCCTGAAAGCCCCCCGGGGTGATGTCAGGAGTAATGTCATGTCATACAGATAAAGCTGTGTGTCATTTCCCAGACTCCTCTGTGGTCTATCTATAGCTCTCCTCTCCTCTGATAGGATTGTGTCGAGCTGTTTTGGCAGCGGAAGATACGTTTATCTGGGCAGAAACGGACTGACAGCTGTGTTGTGGTAGCCTGCGCTTGGAGATAAGGGACTTGGCACTGTCCCAATCAACAGCAGAAAACTTTGTTGCCTTTTTCTCTACACTTAAGTAGACCTGGAAATAACATATTTTTCAAACTTGTGAGGCCAAGATATTTTCAGCATTACTTATCTTTACACATAATTTTTACTTATCAGATCTTGTGCAACTGTATTTTTTTCAATAAATTGCTCTAGTTTGTGAAACAAAACAGCTCACCAATATCACTCTGACACTTTTTCAGCATATATTAAATCCCTAAAAGTTTACTCTGAGAACATCTCTTGGCGTAACCTCTACAGCCCCAACAAGAGAGACAGCACAATAAACTATTTACAGAGATACAGTTTTCAACAGTCAACAATGCCTGCGAGAATATTACATAACATACATCATCAGCCATGTGAGTTAGATAATGTAGCACTCACAAGTAGTATGCAAAACTGTGTTCAGATGGAGACTATTCCATGCTGAACTGCCTTCAATTATATCTATCACCCTTTTATAAGTATTTAATTTTCATAATTTTTTTATATAACAGTAGTAGCTATTTATGTATGACACAGCTTTTCCAGCTTGGTTTTTCATTTTTGTTTTTTTTTTTCTTCAGAATTTTAAAGTCCATTAGCCTGCAGTTAGAAGCATTCAGCTGACAAATAAAAGACTTTAACTGCCGGCATTTTCTGGGCAAAATGTGAAATGTTTTCAGCTATTTTCACGGCAAATAGCAGCAGCTGTGTTCTCGTCCTCGGAATTATCAGCCAGGAAGTCGACGGATAAGTCCGGACTGTCGCAATGCCGTTGCAGTGACCTTGATTATTACGGTTGTCTTCGGTCATTACCGCCGAAGGGAGCGGTGCTTTGGTTGTCATGGAGACAGGCGTGTCCGGAAAGTGCGTGGGCGGATCATCATGCTTACCTTCTTGAGTGAATAGTAATCCGAGTCCTTCCACGTGTACCATACGATGCCATTTGGACCCAGCAGATTCTTTCCTTTGGCCGAGTAACGACCACCCTAATTGGTTAAAGACCAAAGACATTTTGTTCCAGTTTTAACATCATAAAATTTTACTGACTTCCTCATAGCCCACTCCAGTTCCTTGATATCATCTGTTCTGTTCCATTCAAACACTTCCTGTATGTGGCCCTTTGTTTTGGTTGATACGAAACATTCATATAGTTGATACAAAATTTCTCTAAAAAGCCCTAAAAATAATATTTCTCATGCTTGTTTCAAAAATCAAAACATATCCTAGAACTAATTTGGCTTTATTTATAGCTCAATGTAAATAGTGATAAAATCATACATGACTTTTAGTGTAATATCCTGATCTGAGCTGTGAATACTCAATCCATTGCTTAATATGGGGGATATACACGTACATGGATTGTGGATACGCAGGTGTACCTTGTAGTACACCCCGTTGAGGTTGGCATAGAAGCAGTGATGGTACCACCAGCCAGCCTGCGCGATCTCAGCACATATGTTCCCCACGTCGGGAGTGCTGAAGCTTTGCTTGTCATGGTACCAGCTGAAGCTGTCCTCTATGGTGCCGCTGAAGCCACTCACGTGAAGGCGGTAGCGGCTCTCCTCATCATCCACGCTGCAGGGAGGGGGCAAAAGATAACAACCACTGTTTTGAATTACATACCCTTTGTTTGGGGGATAATGGGGGGCATTTGGACCATACAGAACCTCAGGCTATAAATTATATACCCATCTACCCAAGGACATAACTTTGGGTTGAGGTCACCCATTTAAGGGGGTCTGGGGGTTATATTGGCTGGCTTTGATTACTGGGGGGTTTACCACCCACCCACTCCATAATTTACACCCATCCATCCTGCATTTTTTCAATATTTTCACTTTCCTTGGTTAAACTTTTATTATGTCTCTGAAATAAAAATAATTAAACCATAATTTAATACTTAAGTTCTCTTCGTATTTGAATTAATTAAGACACTTCCTATTAATTTCTAAGCATTTTAAGTGCAATAATGTTTGTTTCTGAATTTTACTGTTCTGTTATGGGTACAAACAAGTCTTGTTTGATTTGGCTTGATTACAAGTCATGTGACTAGTCTGACGTCATTCAGGAGAGTCACCATCCATGCATTCTGTCTTTGTCCCACACAGTTTGATCCAAATCATTTTACTTTGATTTTAACATCTTGTTTTCTTTATAACAGTAGCTCTGTACAGGCATTTCTCGTGACAAATAAATTTGTCTTGCTGTCACATGCTCACACTTAGTTCCTTTTCTATTATGTCAGAAGCCACACCACCTGCAGTTCAGACCAGGTAATTCACCTGAAGCTAAGCAGGTTTTGCCTTGGCCAGTACTTGGATGGGAGTCCAACTAGGAATGTTGGGTTGCTGCTATAAGAGGTGCTGGTGTAGCCAGCAGGTTAGCCCATCCAGTGCAGTGACAAGGACACTCTGCTGTACCAATGGTGCTATAGATGAGATGCAAAATTGGACCTGACTCTCTGAGGTCATAAACAATCCTGGTGCAGCTTTTAAATGAGTATAGGTGGTACCCCAACATTCTGCCTAAAATTGCCCACGGTGGCCCTTTCAAATCTGGCCTCCTAATCATCTCCTACATCTAACAGGTGAATTCTCTCCTGGCCCTTCACCACCTTAGGTACTGTGTGGTGAGCTGATTGGCTGCCATCCCATCATCCAGGTGGGTGATGCTCAGTGGGATTGGTTCAAACGGCTTCCCATTGCTCCTGTAAAGACCTTTATCTTGAAAAGCGCTATATAAATGTAACATTCATTCATACTAAGTCTACTAACTAATCTACCTGAACCCAGATACTCATCTGCAATCATCTTAAAAAGACTAATAATTTCTGTGGAATCCTGTACACCACTAGAAATACAGTAATTTCTCAAACTTTTATCAGACACATCTGGCAGCCAAATCAAAACCCTGGGAGCAGTTTGGGTTGTAATTGTAATTATTTGGCAATATCAGCAATGCTGTTCTATGCTGGCACTTTGCACCTTTGGAAAAGTGGTTAGTTGATACACTATAGGTAGATACAATAATAGGTTATGTGTATCAGGTACATGCATTAACACATAAAGGAGGGTTCCCCAGTCTGCAACACAGTCTGCAGATTTCCCTGCAGAAGTATACCTACTAAACCTGGCAATTAGCTGGTGAGCTGAATAAGATGTATTTGCGCAGGGAAATCTGCAAACTGTGTTGTGGACTGGCCCTCCAGGACTGGAATTGGGGAAGCCTGACATAGAGTAAACAACATGCAGTTGTTTGCCCCCCCCCCCAAGTGCAAACAGCAAACTCTGCCAATGCAAGAAACCCTGACCGAAAGTTCTCGTAGAGGGCATGCTTGTGCTTGCTCTTCCAGTCTTCCAGATCAATACGCAGCTTGTAGTCTCCCTGGTTGGATATCTCGTGGATATGCTCATTGCCCAGCCAGAACTCTGTCTTCAGGTCCCCGAAACCTTCCCTGTACTCCTTCCAGCTGCGGTTGAAGTTTACTGAGCCATCCTGCCGTCGCTGGATCACTGTCCACCCACCACCTAGACAAGGAGATGCAATACAGAGATACCAATACAGATGCTCCACGAGTTACCATGGTCCATGTTATGATATTTTGACTTTTACGATGGGTAAATGTTTTTCACTTTCAAAATATTATTCAATAAATTACATGAGATATTCAGCACTTTATTATAAAACAGGTTTTGTGTTAATGATTTTGCCCAACTGTAGGGTAATGTAAGTGTTCTAAGCATGTTTAAGGTAGGCTAGGCTAGGCTATGATGTCTTTTAGGTTAGGTGTACTGTATTAAAATGCATTTTCACCTTACAATATTTTCACCTTACGATAGGTTTATCAGAATGTCACCCCATGGTAACCTGGGGGGAGGCTGTATATGGTACGGGAGCATACATTGAGAAATTCCACTGCTGGGATGCAGGCAGCACAAACACTTTACGAAGATACCACAGTGACACAGAGGATCATAGTTAAGCAACACATCAGAAAAATTTCAACACTTCTTTCATATTTTATATTTCAAGCTGACTCGAATACCATTTGTGGTCAGCTAATCCAGATTTGTTTGCCTCTTTTTCCATCTCAGATCACATCACAGTCGAGAAGTACGAGCTCTAGTCCACTGTTTCCCTGAGCCGACGATGCCTTTCCCTCAGGCTTTTAAGCCAACGCTACCTCAGCTAATTACTTACAGTATGAAACTCCAAATGTAGCAATCACCTTTCCCAGAATGCATCAAAACATCATCTTCTAGCCACTGTAAACAAACCAGGCCGGTTTAGCACTTTAGCATATTTTACATAATCCAACCCGATTTCAATATCATTTATATCCGTTACTCATTCAAGTGTTTTCTTTATTTTGGTAATCCACTGTATCTGACTGCTTGCACTGATTTATATATTTAGAATATATTGTGTTTGTAACAGTCTTAAATACAACAGACAAAAGACAGACAAAAAAATCCTTACCCTCAGTTTCCATGTCACAAAATACTTCAACTGGCACTGCCCTCAGTGAAGGGACCACAATATAGATTCCAGACCTGTGCACCCCATTGTAGTACAGGGAGGCACAGTCAATAGGGCAATTTCTCACATGCTGGACCTCTGTAAGAAAAATGCTGTTAGGGATCTTACAGACAGCACAGTTGTCTTTGAAATTCTATCAGTGCTTTAAACGTTTTTTTTTTTTTTTTAATAGTCAAATATCCATACATTTTGAGTAACCATTATAGATATTCACTATTTTTCAGGGAATAGAACAAGTCCGACATCATTGGCGTGACAATACAAATGGATAAACACATTTCAACCCTTAACATGTTGCAGCAATCAGAGCACACACAAACACAAAAGGTAAACTAAAAGAACAGACTTAACCAACAATCCCATCACAGGCACGAAGCATCAGTCCACAGTCCTCCAGTACTGTCTAGAGGCCTACAGTGTTGTCTATATTGACAGAGCTGAATAATACCACAAATATAGTCGTTTTGGAATTTCACTTGCTTGTGATGTGCTGAAGGTCTGTCAGACTCCATTTGCGTAATTAACTGCCAAACATCAGTATGAAAACTAAAACCCTTCTACCTTATTTTTTACAAGTGATCAGCCAGACTTTAAAAATTTCAACAAGACTGGAATGTAGGAAATAGTATCCAGACAGTCCTTTGGAAAATCTAGCTCCCTCTAGTGTACATTTTTAACAGGAACCAAATACATAACATTTTACAGAGCTCTTAGAATGCAATTCATGATGGTGCAAAAAAACATCAAACTGTGTGATTATATTACAGATTGTGTTTGATTTTGATATATATCTATTTATAACGGGAAATGGTTTGCATTATGTTCAACTATAGTCTCTACAGGGGTTAACATCCATCTCATTCCTAATAACTGAAACTCTTGGAAAGGATCAGTTCACCCCCTCCCTCCGCCGCCCTCCCACACTGCGAAGACCCACGTTTTGACCAATCATCAACCTGGGTGGAGGGCTTCCTGGGTGCTGAGGAGGGGGCTGGTGCGGATGATGTTGACCATGCAGCCGGGGTTGTGCCGCACCTTCTCCACCAGCATGGAGAGGTTGCGTATCTGCATCTGCATGTCGTAGATGAGGGCACCGTGGATGTGCAGCAGAGTGCCGGCCTCTGTGTTCCGCTGCTCCTGGGCGTGGAACCTTTGCCCCAGAGACAGGTTGAGGCCGTTCTTATCGTCATTCTGCCAGCAGGAAGACAGTGGCGGTAGAGTTAGAGTCATTATAAGCATTACAAGCCAGGGGTCGGGAGCCCAGCATCTGCTGGGGTGATGTACTACATCTGCTGCCATTCCATTTATCTTCATAACGCCAACACCTAAGAGAGATGGCTAAATTAGTTCGATATTTAGTTCAGTCATGAACTCAAGCACTTAGGTAGAAGGAAAACAGCATATACACCGGCCCCAGGGGACCGGATTTCCAGGTCATTTATACAACAGATATTAAAGGCCCAGTTTTATTTTAAAGAGTTCAAGATGTGGACGAAGCACAGCTCTGGAATTCTGAAAAGTGCTGTTTAAATGATCATCAACAAGTAACACTGTGAGTGATTAACTAGCAATAAACCTAAATAGCAAGTTTTTGAGGTAAACAGGCTATACAGTACATAAGGACCAATATGAATCAGGCTACAGCAGCTTCTAAGTAAATTAAGGGTTAATAAGCAAATTACCCATTCATCCTCCAACCACTTAGCTAGGTCAGGTTGCCTGGAGCCTATTCCTGGCAGCGAGGTAGGGCTGTACCCTGGGAGGGATGTTACTCTGTCACAGGGTGCACGCACAGTAATGCACCATGGGCAACACAGAGATGCCAACTAACCTATGCTGCATGTCTTTGAAGTGGAAGTGGAAAACAGCACAACAGAGAGAAAATGGAGGATTCAGAAGGTGGGAAGAAACAGTGATACCACAGTTCACTTATTATTATGATGATGATTATTATTATTATTATTATTATTATTCATCCATCAATCTTCTGTACCCGCTTGTCCTATTCAGGGTTGTGGGGGTCCAGAGCCTATCCTGGAAGCTGCTATTATTATCTAATATTATTATTATTGTTGCTGTTGTTGTTGTTGTATCACAGGAACCACTGCAAAATAATACTTGTAGAACAAAGATAAGGATTGCATTGACTGAAGGAGTCACACACATCCTCAAAAAGGAAGCAATATGTTTCGATATACCTTTTATAAAAACAGACTATTGTGGTGCCATATTCTAAGGTATTTACAATAAATATTTTCAGATCGTTTAGAGGAGCTATACATTATATACATTGCGGTTTCTCAGTTTGGTTCTTGAAGGGCCAGTTTGCAGATTTCCCAGCTCAAAGACCCAATTGCTGGGTTTATTAGTTTGTTTGAGCAGGGAAATCTGTAGACTGTTGCAGACTAGACCTCCACGACCGGTGATTGGGGAACCCTGATATACATTAATAAATAACTTTTGTAGTATTTCCTTCATAATCATTGGGGGGAAAAACTAAAAAAGACCCTTGAGTTAATCATTTTCACATCCTGCTCTGTGCATCCTCCAAGCTTCTGCAAATCTTTCAGTATGTCTCAGCACCTTCTCTAGCCAAAAAACCGTCACATTTTGGACACGTCGCTCTGCTATGTAGAGTTGATTGGTTGACATCACTTAAATAGTGGGCTACAGACATAGGCTGTTTCTCTTCTATGTCCTCTCTTATTTATCAAAGAAAATCTAAGTAGGAAGGATGACAGGTTCATTGTGAAAAACTCACGAACTCAGTGGAGACCGGCAGACAACGAAAGGTCGGCTTTCACCAAGCCAACGTGACTAATCCCCCAATTATCGCCGCGGCTTAGGTGGCCTTTACGGCCTGCCCGCTGCCCTGCTCAACACCGTGGAAAAAGGCTGCAAAAACAGCCATGTCGCAACCACTTGCTTCTGCCAGATGAATTCTCCAAACGTCATACCCGTAATTAATTTCACTCTCGAGTTTACCAGCAGCTTGGCATTTACAGTAGTGCTGTGTTGCTCATACCACTTATCCATCAGCTTTTCGTCATCATCTGTCTATCTGTGTTTGCCAGTTCCTTTATTTTTCTACTGTTTTTGTTAATTTTATTCAAGTTTAATTCCAATGACCCGTAATGTGCGTATAGGGCTTAACGACTTGGCACACTTGAACTGTGCATTTTAAAGATGTATTTTCCATGATTTCAATCAGTCTGCCTTGCTGAAATGCCCTTTGAGTGCCTTTTATTGTGATTGCTAATCCTTGCACTTCCCACGGCTTATTGCTTTCGTATGTGCCAAACGGACGCAAAGCTGGTTTCACCTGTAGCTCCAGGACGTTGATGCGATGCCGATGGTTGCGCAGCTCCTCCTGGAGCTCGGAGATTGTCTCCTTGAGGTCCGCCATCTGCTGTTTGCGCTCGTCGTTCTCGTGCAGCCAGTAGGAGACCTCGTCCGTGCAGCGGAACAGGTCCGGGCAGCGCCGGCCTTCCAGCTGCGGCACGGTGGCCACCAGCCGACACGTGCCGTTCGCCGTCGCGCGGCTGCTGTATTCACCGCACAGGCTCGCATGCGTGCCCTCGCGGATGCCCGTTTCGTTGCTGCCCGATGCCAGCCAAAGGCTCCACACTGTCACGAGGACGCGACCCTGCAGCAGCAGGACCGTCATCCTGCACGCGTCGAAGGTCACCGGCTTGTTCTCTGATGCCAGTAATGTGCAAATTTGCTTTACCCACACGGTGATACCAGCTCGAGATCTTTTTCCACTTCACAGCTTCGAGATTATCCAGTCAAGGAATACTTATTACCGAAATATCACATGGGGTTTCCTTGAAAATAAATAGAAATATATATAAAATAAATATTTTAAATAGAAAAATATTTAAAATAAAAATACATGTCTCAAAATAATTATTGTTAATTATTCACATCATGGATAGATGAACAATATAAAATATGATAATGGCAGTCATTTAAAAACCTCACATTCACTGAAGCAATTATAGATGTACGTGTTTGTAAGAGTAGCAAAGCGTTCTCTCGGTCACAAGCACACCACCTTGGTCACTAATCTATCTACATATCACACATTTCTATCTCTTATTTGACTTTAGTCTTTGTCTGCCCTGGCATGAAATACAAAATACAGCTTAATAACAGTTTAATGTAATGAGATAATTTCCATTGTCAAGTTTACTGACCCAACATAATGAAAGTGGATCCTCTTCTAGATGTTTTATATTGTACAGTCAGTAAAACCCTGGCGGTTCAACCCCCAAATACATTAGTTGCTAACTTAAATGCCTGACTAAGTTTGTTTCGGTGAACTCGTGGTAATTAAGGTGCACTTTAAAACCACACAGTCCACATTGTGCTGCAGTAACTTTCTGTCATTTGACAAGTAGTTAAAGAGTTTGAAAACTGTCATAATATTTTTTGGCAATATATCTATCAACAAACCATTGTAAATGTGATGCAACTGTGATGTTTTTCTCATGTTATATAGGTGCCATTTGTATAAAAGTATCTGTTATTGATACATCTGCTAAGAAATAGCCTTCACCTTGAAAGATAAAAGATTGTTAATCAAAGGATTCAGTTGTAATTTAATTTAAAAACAGTTATCCTATAAGGTTAGAATGTTTAAGTGATGTATTTTAAATCAGTTATCTGCTGTGTTGTGTAATGATTGTATAATTTGTAATGTGTAATTAAATGAAACTTGCCTTGAGGTAAGATCATTCTAAACTCTACCTCATATCTCCATTGTTACCTTACAGATATTTCCTCATACCAACATCCCCACAGCCCTGAATATGATAACAGTATGCATCTTTAGAAGATGGATGATGAATATACATCCGTATCACACTTTGGACTCACAGAAGTTCTAAGACTAATTCAGAACACAGCGATGAAAGAAATCGCTGGACTTTACCTTGCTGAGAGCAGGAAGGATCACTGACAAGGGACAACTTGCTCTGAGTGGTGTCCATTTTCACCTCGGAAAAGTGAACTGGTGACCGGGTTACTGCGGTAAGACCTGTGCCCTATCTAACATAATCCTTCCTAATGGGATTTCTGGTTCTGAGAAAGACCAGCAACACTAAATGCAGTAGATAAAAATGCTAATCAGCTGTTAATCCCGTCCATCTGGACATCCGTTTTACATACGTTTAGCAGGTATTTGTGAATTTAACCTTTATCTTGCATTAATAGATGAAATGGATGACCGTGAGAACTTTGACCATGCCCCTAAGCCCATTTCTGCAACTATTCTTTATTAATATAACTGTATGGAAAATTGTCATTTTTAAGAGCGTTATATTAAGGTGGTTTAGTGAGTAATACAGTAACACTTTAAGGACTCGGGGTTAATATCGCAGCCCTACTTTGAGTGTGTGGAGTTTGCATATTCAGCCCTTGCAACTCCTCCCTCAGCTCAAAGATATGAATTTAGGTGAAGTGGTGTTTCTGAATTGTCTGAAGTGTGTGATTGTTTGTGCCTGATCATAGACTGATGTTCCATGCAGGGTGTCCCCTGCTTTGTGCCTGATCATAGACTGATGTTCCATGCAGGGTGTCCCCTGCTTTGTGCCTGATCATAAACTGGTGTTCCATGCAGGGTGTCCCCTGCTTTGTGCCTGACTATAGACTGGTGTTCCATCCAGAGTGTCCCCCGCTTTGTGCCTGATCACAGACTGGTGCTCCATTCAAAGTTGTCCCCTGCTTTGTGCCTGATCACAGACTGGTGTTCCATTCAAAGTTGTCCCCCACTTTGTTCCTGATCATAGACTGATATTCCATGATCGGTGTTCCCTGCTTTGTGCCTGATCATAGACTAATGTTCCATCCAGGCTGTCCCCTGCTTTGTGCCTGATCATAGACTGGTGTTCCATGATCGGTGTTCCCCACTTTGTGCCTGATCATAGACTGGTGATCCATCCAAGGTGTCCCCTGCTTTGTGCCTGATAATAGGCTGGTGTTCCATGCAGGGTGTTCCCTGCTTTGTGCCTGATCATAGACTGATGTACCATGCAGGGTGTTCCCCGCTTTGTGCCTGATCATAGACTGGTGTTCCATACAGGGTGTTCCCCGCTTTGTGCCTGATCATAGACTGGTATTCCATGATCGGTGTCCCCGCTTTGTGCCTGATCATAGACTGATATTCCATGATCGGTGTCCCCTGCTTTGTGCCTGATCATAGACTGGTGTTCCATACAGGGTGTCCCCTGCTTTGTGCCTGATCATAGACTGGTGTTCCATACAGGGTGTTCCCCACTTTGTGCCTGATCATAGACTGATATTCTATGATCGGTGTCCCCGCTTTGTGCCTGATCATAGACTGGTGTTCCATGCAGGGTGTCCCCTGCTTTGTGCCTGATCATAGACTGATGTACCATGCAGGGTGTCCCCTGCTTTGTACCTTATCATAGACTGGTGTTCCATGCATGGTGTCCCCTGCTTTGTGCCTGATCATAGACTGGTGTTCCATACAGGGTGTCCCCGCTTTGTGCCTGATCATAGACTGGTGTTCCATACAGGGTGTTCCCCGCTTTGTGCCTGATCATAGACTGATATTCCATGATCGGTGTCCCCTGCTTTGTGCCTGATTATAGACTGGTGTTCCATACAGGGTGTTCCCCACTTTGTGCCTGATCATAGACTGATATTCCATGATGGGTGTCCCCGCTTTGTGCCTGATCATAGACTGGTGTTCCATACAGGGTGTTCCCTGCTTTGTGCCCTGTGTTGCCAGGTATAGGCTCTAGGCCAGGGCAATTCAAATCTCGGTCCTCAAAGCCTGAGCACTGCTGATTTTCCAGCCTTCCTTTACCTGTCAGTCAGGTGTAGTGCTTGCATGTAGTCCTGTTCCAGGTTTTCTGTTCAGCATCCGGATTCTGACGTAAGCACGTCAGGAGTGAGGACGTAACTAGAGGTGTAATGGTTAGGGGGCATCGGTAGGAAGTAAGGTAGGAAGTAAAACGACATGCTGGATAACAACTCTTCCTGTCTATGTGATCTTTCTTTCTCCTCTCCCCAAGAACGCTACAACTTGGCGACGAGTGATAAATAGATCTGAACCCGAACAAACATAATAAAACCAGCTGGTTGGATCACAAGGAGCATAAAAATGACGACTCTCCCGCATTTTCCGACGTTCGATTTCCACTCCGAAACCAGCTCAGTCGGCTCGCGATGGAAAAAATGGCAGAATAGATTCGACAATTACCTACAAGCGTTCAACGTAGAAGAGGACAAGCAGAAAAGAGCACTCTTACTACATCATGCGGGACCCGAGGTGTTCGACATTTTTGAAACGCTGCCGGAAACAGGAGAAGATTACGCTACTGCGGTAAGAAAGCTAAACGCCATCCAAATAATTGCGCCATCCAAAGAGAACGTCATATCACCCCGACAGTGGATGATCTGATTTATGATTTAAACGGAGCTGTATGTTTCACAAAACTGGATCTGAATGCTGGATATCATCAGCTTGAAGTACATCCGGACTCCAGGTATATAACGACGTTTACAACTCATGCAGGGCTCTGGAGGTACACTCGTTTGAATTTTGGAATTAGCTCAGCTGCAGAGGTTTTCCAAAATACAATTCAGCAAGTCCTCCATGGCATCCCAAATGTCAGGAACATGAGCGACGATATCATAGTCTACGGGAAAACACGAGAAGAACACAACACCAGTCTGCAAGCTGTATTCAAAAGACTTAAAGAGAACAACCTCACCCTCAATGAAGACAAGTGTGAGTACAGCAAGAAGAGACTAGACTTCTTTGGATATGTGTTTTCAGACAAAGGGATTTCTGCAGATCCGAAAAAGATAATAGCCATCAAGAACCTTTCAGCCCCACAGAATGTGTCCGAAGTACGCAGTCTGCTTGGCATGACAGCATACTGCTCACGTTTCATTCCGGACTATGCAACAACCACGCAGCCGCTGCGTGAACTTGTCCGGAAAGATCACATTTGGAACTGGGGACCCGAACAACACGCAGCCCTGGACAAGCTGAAATCTCAACTCATCCAGAATGCTACAATGTCATATTTTGATCCAAGGAAGTCATCAACACTTCTTGTGGATGCAAGCCCAGTTGGTCTTGGTGCGATACTGAGCCAGCCAGGCGCAGACGGGTCTGGTAACAAAGTGATCGCGTATGCCAGTAGAGCACTCACATCTGTAGAACAACGTTACTCACAAACAGAAAGGGAGGCCTTAGCAATAGTCTGGGCATGTGAAGACTTCCACTTATACCTGTATGGCTCACACTTTACAGTCATTACGGACCACAAACCTCTGGAGCTTATTTTCAACAATCCTCGAGCATCTCCACCAGCCATGCTTGAACGCTGGAGGCTGAGATTGCAACAGTACACATTTACAGTCCAGTACAAAGTAGGGAAAGGCAATCCTGCTGATTACATGTCGAGGCATCCTGCTGACGGACACCACACAGACTGTTTAGAAAATGCAGAAAGCTATGTCAACTTCATAATTGACAACACAGTTCCAAAAGCAATGACTTTGGATGAAGTACGACGTGAAACTGGGAAAGACTCCGTCCTGCAGATAGTAATAAACGAGCTAAACGGGAAAGGCTGGGCACACTTGAAGCAGACCATATCAGATGTAGAACACGCAAAGCTAGCA